AACGGGTGGGGGTGGGGGCTGTGAGTGGCCTCAGCCTCCCCCTGGGACCGGGACAGAGTCGGGGAAGGTGACGGCCGTGCCTGGGGCGGGGGATGCAGTTGGGCGCCGTCCCGCACGTCTGCGGTGGTTTGTAGCCACGGGCCTGCTGTTCAAACCCCGGCAATGCCCAGGACAGAGCGAGAGGAAGCTGGTCAGAGGCGCTGAGAAGCCAGGGCCCCACCCCACCCCCACCGCGTGGAGCATGGACTCTGGTCTCCGGAGAACACGCCGATCCGGTGAACACAGAGTATTGATATGAAACCGCTCGGGAACTCGACACACGCGGTCTCTGGGAGCCTCGCGGGGGGAGCCGAGGCCTAGGAGAGAGCTGTCCGTGTGTCAAGCTCTGCCCTGAGATGCTGGCCCTGCTCCACGCGCCGGCCGCCTGCGTGGCCCTCACCAGCCTGAGCGAGCGGGGACCTGCCAGAGCGGAGGCTGGGCCGGGGCGGGGGGCTGGGGGGGGGCACCGGGGCTGCAGGCCTGGTGTCCCCACTCACCCGCCCAGGTTCCCTTCCAGGGGGACAGCCTGAAACTCAGTCTCCATCTCCTGCCCCCCCTTCCTGCCTCCCCCCAGCTCCTTGGGTTCCCCCCCTGAGAACTGCCCACCCCATGGTCCTCCTGTAGCGGTTGCCCCAGGCCCCTCCCGCCTCTCCTAACCCTAGGAGATGAGAAGAGCAGTGCCCCCCCACACTTTGACATGGAATTTCCACCAACCAGATTCTCATTCTCAGCACAGTAACCCTGCAGCACCCCCCTCCTGCTGGGATAGTCCTGCCCTGTTAGTTCTTGAGCGGGAGAAAGGGCCCATCTTTTGACCCTGGGATGGTATTTGTAAGGAAGCAAAGAAAGAGTTGGTCAGCCCTGGCTGGTGTTGCTCAGTGGGTAGAGCATCGGCCTGTGGACTGAAGGGTTGATTCTGGTTAAGAGCACATGCCCGGGTTTTGAGCTCAATCCCCAGTAGGGGGCATGCAGGAGGCAACTGATCCATGATTCTCTCTCATCTTGGATGTTTCTCTCTCTCCCTCTCCCTTCCTCTCTGAAATCAATTAAAAGATATATTAAAAGATTTAAAAAAAAAAGAGTTGGGCAAAGAATTTCACTCTGAGCTTTGGCCTCTTCGGGGCACCCAGGGGCTACCGGGAGGATTAAATGAGATCACGCATGTCCGAGCCCGGCCTCGCCACAGCTCGGCTTGGAAGCGGGGGCACCATCCTTCCCACGCGTGTGGCCTCGGGGGAGGCGCTCCCCTCGCTGACCTCCAGCTTCCTCATCCGGAAAATGCGCTTGTGAGCATTCGCCCTTCACAGCTGCTGGGGGAGGCAGAGCGAGCCCACGGAAGGTCCTAACGGCGCCCGGCGTAGGAAACGCGTTCAGATATGGCGGCGACCCTTGTGCCCGTCGCTGCTTTCACTTTTCTTAGTGCGACGGTGACGGCTCTTTGGTGAGGAGGGCAGTGCCGCTCCGTAGCTGGGCATATAGACTCTGGAGCCACAGCACCCAGGTTTCCGTTCCAGTGCGGGGCTGGGCTGTGTGACCGCACGCGAGGGGAACACGGATTCCATCCGCCCCGTGAGCTGCTGTGGAGAGTAAGTGACTACGTGCAGGGCTGTGACGAGTGCTTGGCAAGGAGTCAGTGCTGCCATTGTGTTTGCTGTTAGTCGTAGTAGCTGTTGTCTCGGTATTTGTATTATTATTATTATTATTATTATTAACAGCCAGATTCTGTGAAAGCCTTTACTTGGATCATTAAGGAGAGCTACAGTCCAACGCACTCACCATCCCATTAATGGTCCAGTGACTCTAAAGCTGTGTGACGTTGGGCACACGCCCTGCCCTCTCTGAGCCTGCTTTTATTTGTGAATTACAACAGTAAGCACCTCTCATGGTCCTGCTGGGCTGTCAGGCTTCAGTAATGAGCGATGACCCGTGGGAAGCTGCTAGCGTCTAGTTCATTAGGGCCTTGTCCCAGGCCCTGCCTAAATCCAGTTCCCTGCCCCGCCCCTGCCCTGCAGGCGGGCGGGGGCGGGGGGGGGGGTGAGCGCCCGGATTCCCCCCTGCTGGGCGCCGCTGCCAGGCCCTATTCTGGGGGCCCAGCGATCCTGCAGCCGTGCCCAGCTTCCCCGGGGATCAGGTTTCTGCTGACGCGATGCCAGGCACGTCTGCTTCCAGGAACCGGCAGCCGCATTTAGCCGCGGGCCACACATGAAAGGCTGCAGTCGGAAACGTGAAGTTGTGTCAACAGGCGAGGCAGGTCAGCGCTGGGTGAGACCATCCCGGCAGGCGGAGATCACGCCCTGTCTGAACGCGGCCAGAGCCCCAGCCTGCGCTCCCTCGCCGCCTTCCCCTCCCTTCGCCCCCCCCAACCTCTCCTGGGCCCCAAACCAGAGCTTCACCCCCTCACACGCACACACCCCTTTTCAAACAGAGGTCCTCTTTGTCCCCATCTCCCTCGGAGACACTTGGAACCCGCTCAGCTCGGCTGGAGGAAGGTCAAGGGCAAACAGAACCAGGAGGAGGCAGAGGGACTGCAGCTGCCACTTCAGGGGCGTGTGACGGGCAGGCGCCAGGGGGGGCTTCTCCGCTGACTATGTGTTGAACCCGCAAACCTTTTTGTAATGCAGGTCGCTCCAACCACTTCCTTCTGTCCCCACAGCAAGCCCTTGAGTCACGGCCCAGGAGAGGGGGGCACGCAGGACGAGTTTGGTCTCGGTTTCCGCCCTGAGCTCCATCCCCAGGATAAACTTGACTTGTTCAGGTCTTTACCTAAAACATAAAAAATAACAAGGTCTAGCGATTCATGGAGGAACTCGGGGGCGGATCAGGCCCCCAGGTGCTGGGAGGAGGAGGCCTGACAGGTTGCCATGTGTCTGCTACCTGACACTCAGAACGCTGACGCTACGAGTCCAAGGCAGGCCTGTGGCCACGGGCGCGACAGACACCCACCGTCCACCTCCCACCTCCTGGCCGGGGCTCCTGCCCGGGCACTGAGCTGTCTGGGGACACCGGTGCCTTCAGACCCCGCCGCTGCGGCCCACACAAGCCAGGCCACGCTCGTGTCGCCTGCTGGCTCATAGGAGACAGGAAGGTGACACTTAGAGCCAACACTCATGGTGGCAGGGGGGTGCCTCTGCCTGGTGACTGCTACCCAGGGGCCTGGGGCAACGGGTTCCCTGCCCGGAAGCCAGACAAGGGGGGGCGGGAGGACAGGACGGGGGCAGGGCGGGGGCGTGTGGGCGCGTGGCCAGCCAGGCACTGGCATCGGACGCCTCTGGGAGGGTGACGGGGGAGGCACGGACATTGGACCCGGCCGTTTCCCACCTCTTTTCCCAGGGAATGTTTTCCTTTTCAAAAGAGCACTTGACGAAGGAACAGCGATATTCATTCGCGCGCACACACGCCCCTGGAGAGGAAGCGCAGGAAGGATGTAGAAAATAATTATGGGATGTTGCCTTCAGCGGCAGTAAGGCAGGATATGGCAAATCCATCAGACCTTGCTGGACGCGAAACATTCAGGCGGCCCCGGCTACCCCAGCGCCAGTGACCGCTGCAGCAGAATGTACGAAACCTTCCCCCCCGTTGCCCGCCCTCCTCCACGCTCCCCAGACACCGAGGCCCCGGTTCCATTCTTTGATTTTCTGCCAAGTCCTAAGGAAGGTGGCCGGGGAGGGGGCGTGGGGTGGAAGATGCCCTTTTTTGCTTAACCATGGAAGGAAGTATGAGGTGATGATAAACCTCTAGCAAAGGTTAGTTAAAAAACAAAACCCCAAATATTTGCCTATGACATTGACTAGGCTCCTTGTGTCTGGAGACAAGGCTGGGCACCGCGGTTAACTAGTCACCTAACTAGTCGCCGCCTTCAGTCCGGGAGAGGGCAGGGGGCAGCCACACCTCACCATCGAGTTCTTTTAAGAAATGCAAGACACCGTCTTTCCCTTCCACGGGAAGAGCGCGATTTTATTCAGTCCTTTAAAACAGCCACTCAACATCGACTCATCGATAAAAATATTTACAGTTTCACACCTTCAGGAAGGCTCCGAAATATAAACACTGTACCTCTCCCCCGAGCAAAAGAGACGCGGCCCTCTCTCCAGGAACAGGAGTACATTCATTGTCCTCGAGGTGCAGATCAAGTAGTTATACAAATAAACACCTGAAAGTCTCCTCTTTAATAGAGTTATATAATATATATATTTATCACCGTTTTACAAATAAAGGCAACGACTTGATACCAAAATAAAAACAGGGAAAGAAAGAGTGAGAAGAACACGGTCGGCGGCCAAGCGTCGTGCATTTGGAAAATGCAGGGCTGGTGCGGGCCTGGCTGGACAAATCTGGGACAGGTCCCCTGGACCAAGAGGTTTGAAACCTTCTCGGAAGGAGACTCCACGTGCCCTGGTGATGGTGGTGGTGTGTGTGTGCGTGTGTGGGGCAGGGAGGGCATTAGGCTACGGAAAGGGTCTTGTTAAAGGCTCAGGCAGGCCTTCGGGAAGCTAAGCTTGGTTACAAGGAGCTTTAGGCCAGAACCGAAAACCGAGCCTTGGCTGGTGGAAGGTAGCGATGTTAGGCAGCCTGATGCACTTGGGGGCGCTAGGAACTTAGGCGTCTGCATCTCTCAGACCCTGGTGTGGCTCCCTGGACGGCGAGACCTGGAAACAGGTGCCCGAGGCCCCGGGGACCGCGCCCACACCCCTGGCAGCTGGGCTTGTCCGAGGCCCTTTCAGTTCCTCAGCCAGCGCATCATCACCCCGAAAGCCGGGGAGGGAACTGCGCTCTCCGTGCCGCGGAGGCAGGGTGGGGAGCGGGCCTGCGGAAATCTCCCCAGACCACGATCGTGCGAGGCAGGCCCCGTGGGCCACCTCGCCACTTAGCGGAAAGCTGGGCCTGGCCGCCCTCTCCCTGCGCGGTGAGTCATGGCCAGGGTGCAAGGGAGGCGGGCGGGGTCAGGGGAGCCGGCTGGGAACTGTGCGTTGGAAAGCCCTCTTTTGAAAGTACCTTTTTCTCAAAGCCACTGGCCGGATCCCAGAGCGGAGACTGACTCACAGACCCAGCCTCGGAAGCTTTTGAAAACCCAGCTGACTGGTAGCCAGGGGTTATTCTCTGGGTGGGGACGAGCCCAGAGGTCCTGCGACAACCCCCCCAAGTCTCCTGGCGGCAGGCCGTCCTTCATGGCGCCCCGAAGGGGCCCAAGGTCCGAAACCAACACACAGCCCACACGCCCACCCCCAGCTCCTCTCCCCGCTGCCTCGGACGACCTGGCACACACCCCGGAACAGTCGCCCTGCGCTCACACAAACACACTTTTTTTTTTTTTTTGAAAGGGAGGATGGAAAGCGAAGCAGCAGGATCCCTACAGAGTTCAGTCTTTGGTTTCCAGGTTTAAAGGGGGGATCTGCTTCAGGGCTTGGAGCAGGGCGGAGGAGTCGAGGGCCGGGTGCGATGGCAAGGGAGAGGGGAGTCTCTGGGGCATGAGCAAGGGGCTCGAGATCTTGTCCGGGTTCATGAAGCTGGAGAGGGCTGCGGCGGAGGCGTTGAGGCCTGGGTAGAGCAGGGGCACGGACGTGGGGTACCAGCACTTCTCCAGCATGGGCAGGTAGGCGGTGGCTGACGGCGGGATCAGATAGAAGGGCAGGCAAAAGGGGGGCTGGTGTGGGTGTGGGCCCAGGAACGGGGAGCCGATCAGGTCGCTGCCAGGGAAGCGGCCTTCGTCGTCTGAGAGCTGCATCCTGCTCTTTTTCGTGGGGGGTTCTTCGGATTCTTGCTTAATGGCCCCGATCCGTTCTCCGGCAGCGAACCTGCGTCCGTGGTCACCTTTGAGGTACGGCTGCTCCCCGCGCACGTCGCCCTTCTCAGACTCGCCCCCGTAGCCGCTGTCTGTGTCCGTGTCGCTGCCGCTCTGCTCCCCACTCGAGTGGGCGAAAGTCCGCTGGATGACGGGCACGCAGTTCTTGGCCGGGCCCTCGGAGCCTTTGGCCAGGGCGCCGGGTTTCTCCTTGAAGTCCGCGGCCTTGGGCGCCGGGTCCGACACCTTCCGGGAGGCGCCGCCCTGCAGCAGCTCCGAGACCACGCGGTGCAGGTGGGCGACGAGCTGCGAGGACTTCAGGTCCCGCGTGTGCTCGTGCGCGGCCAGGTACTGCAGCACCTCCCGGGCGCAGGTCTGGAAGCCTGAGCAGAACATCTCCTGCCCCGCCTCGGCGTTCCTCCCCGACAGCTCACCTGGGTGGACACGGAGGAAGAAGGCATTTCAGAAGGCCCCGGGGTTCACCCGGACACCAGCCCCCCGAAGCCAGGTGCCCCCCTGTTTGAGAACACACGTGGGCATCTGTGTTCCTAACTCCAGAAGGAACACGGCCAGAGAAGATGTGGGCTGCCCTGAAACGTGTAAGGAATCAAATCGAAACCAAATGGGTGTAATGGCTGCGTAAGATCCATCAGAGAACCAGACCATAATAACAGGCCAGCCAGCGTCCCCCCTGGTGGAATGTGTAGGTGGTCCCTGACTTCTCAGGACAAGGGACCCGGACATGGAAGCTGAGCGTGCTTCTAACCCAAGGAGTCCATTGTCACAACCTCGGCGTCACCGCAGCAAGACGGACAGAGGCCAGATGGCCGTGAAATGAAAGAATGAAGGAATGATGCCACCTCAGGCAACCTAATTTCCAGTGACATATTCCCACGACAGTCACGCTGCCATCTTTAAACAGACATGCTCTTTCAAGCCTTTGCCATGTATTCCATCCACAAGCCTCAAGAAATCAGGTTTGAGTATCTGTTTCCAGCGAGGGACCCGGCAGGAGGGCGGAGAAGGATGGGATGAGGGAGTGGGCAGGGTTCCTCCTCCCCCCCGCTGGCTGGCCGAATGGCGGAGGGAAGGTTGGAAGGTGAGGGTGAGTGTGATTCTCTGGGAGGTGAGTAGCGACGGATGATGAAACGCCAGGAGTTTCGTTAGGTTGCGCAACTCGCCGAGTTACCTAGTGGCTATTCAGGGAACCACATGAAATGCAGGAAAAACTCCTGCTGTCACCCTGCCAGGGCCATGCCACACACCGAGCCACGAGGAAGCAGAGACCCAGGAAAACACGGGGGCATGCCCGCGCCGCCTCCTCCAAGGAACGACTGTGAACACCCACATGCGAATTCCAGGGGCCTAGCATTTTACGAGGAAGG